AGAAAATATCTTGATCATTGTAATGCTTTTACTTAAAAAAAAAAAAAAAAAAAATAAATAAAAAGAGATTCGTTAAAACAAGTTTACCAATTCCTTCGTTAAAACTTCAAACTGGTCCAAACTTATTCGAAGTTTCGCGAATACTATTAATATTTGCCATTGTACTATCAAGATTAAAAATATATATTTCGTGATATATCTCATTGCTTCGACTCTATCTATATTAGAAACGAAAATACCTCATGTCGCAACATTTTATAGTATAACATACATATATGTGAAACTGGCATTCCTGAGAACACTTTCCAAATCCCTAAAGACTGTCTTCGTTACAGAGAATGTTTCGCAGAATCAATCGATACACTCGTAAAATTATTACAATCGATATTTTCAAATTTACATTTATAATTTAGTTAAATTTTTCAACTTATCGACTCGATTTCGAACACGTTTCCTTCCAACGATAATCTCTGAAATAAAAATCACAATTGCAAACAAATTTCCAATCGCAAGTGCGTAGAAAGTAAACGCTATGTGTTTGATCTTCAAGGTCCTAAAACTTCTCTTATGGTTCATTTGTCTTTTTTTCCACGCTCGAACCATATTTCTTTTGTTAAATTTTTTCCACATCGAGCTTATCCCACTTTCCACCGTTCTATGAATCATATCTGTTACGGAAGGAAGCAATGGCCAATTCTCTCTAGTTACGTAGATTTGCAGATTTTGTTGTATCTTTTTGGATCGATACAGATAATCGTTCTGAATTCTCACGTACTGATGTTGACAATCGCCCAAACATGCAGCGTATGGCGATCGAAGCACGTGCTGCTTGCAGGCATAATAGGTGTCTTCGTGAAAACGTGATCGTAATATGGGATCTTGAAGCTCTAGCTCGTGAAACATGGAACCATAGATCTGGTAGCCAGAATTCTGTCAATGACGAAATTCAGTTATTTTTATAAATGAAAAGGTAAGGAAATAAAATATATATATATTAGAGATCATAATTCTTTAAAGAATCGAATTAATCGTGGAAAGATTTTTAATCAATAAGTTAGACAAAGAAGAAAATAAAGTTAATCAAATATCAAAATTGAATAAATTTTACGAAGTATAGACAAAGATAGCAATTAATGGAAGGAGGATAGAGATAGGATAAAAATATGAAAATGAGCGCCATCTTCAGAGTGTCGCAAATGAAACTAAATAAGTAAAGGATAAAAAATAGCAGGAGAAAGATAGAGATAAAATAAGAATTGACCGATAGCACCATCTTTCGAGTACAAGAAATATCTGCTTATTTTTCTGAAAAATATTTGAGATGGCGTTGATAGTCATTTCTTATCTTTATTTCTATTCTCTTTTTATTATTTGCTTTCCTTTTTTTACATGTTTCATTTGTGGCACTCTGAAGATGGCGTTGATTTCCATATTTTTATGCTATCTCTATCTTTGTCCCATTATTTATTCTTTTTATCTATACTTGCCGTAAATTTATGCATATAGAAGACAGTTTCGGTATTCATTTGTTTTAACTTAAATTTCTTCTTTGTTTAACATATCAATATATTAATTTTTTTGTATGTAATTGTATATAATTTTGTATTCTTATATTTCATATATATTATATGGTATATAATTTATAAAATATAATTTTACATTTCTATACATATATATTAAAGAAATACATCAAATTTCAGAAAATTTTATATTATATTATTTCTGTCCAATTATTCTTCTTCTACAATACAAAATTGAAATTTCGATCAAAAATTTTTAGATTTAGAATTCCTGGCAAAATCTTGCATATCACTTTCTATCCTATTATATTCTCTTGATACATGTATCAATTATGTAAAAAATTTTTGCTATTAAAAATTTTCTATATTTCTTAATTCTAATAATATTTTTTGCTTTTATGAATGCTATCACTTTTTTGCGGTAATGAGCATTTTTCAACATTTTTTTTGAATTGTAAAGAATTCAGAAATATATCAAATCTGTCAACAACATACATCTGAAATATCTCGATTACTTTTCATAATTCAAAGTTCGATTTTAATTATCACGCATTTAACGAAGAAGAGATTCTAATATATATATATCGTTCGTTTGCCGAACATTTTTGACAAAAACGAATCAAAATTCGTTTTAAATTTAAATTTTCATCATTATTAGGAAATGAGTATGTGATAATAAAAAAGAATTTAAAGTACCTTGAGATCCTTCGCGGTTCTAATATTCGGCAGAGGAACGGGAATGGTGAGCAACGAAGCCCAATGACTCTGCACCAACGCGTTCACTATCAAATACAAAACGAACACGCTGCAGAAGAAAATTCTGCAGGAACTGGTTCTCGGCAGTTTGCGTACGGAAACGAAGGTCATCATGCGTATGATGTTCATAAACGCCGGACAAAATCCCTGATATTTCGCGAGAATCACAAGAGCGATCGTGAACATGGCAAAATTGCCTATGTGTATAATCGGCGCCGTGAAGGACCAGAGTTTGACGAACTCTGCTATTTCTCCTGCTCTCTGAGTGATCACGCAGAGACCATCGTCTCCGTGAGGATACGTATGCCTACGATAAAAATAATATTCCATTGTTTCCATGCCCGCACATTCGTTTCGTGTTTAAACTCGAGACACGTACTCGACCTTCCACATGTTGTTCAGACTTCTCGCGTTCATTCCCATATCCACTTCGCCGTTAGCCACGTCGGCCATCATTCCCACCATACTTCCATGCTTGCCAACTCCGCCAAGATCGTACACACTGCCAGTGTACACTCGCACGTTCAGACTCGCGTTTAACTTCACCAACACCAGTTTCACGATTTCGCTATTGTCGCCGGTGAATTTTTGCAAACCTGGCTTACTTTGATCTATTTGGAGATGAGGCTCGAAGGAAATAGCGTTCAATCTGATCTCGTAGCCGTTTAAATCCCTCGTCTTGTTGAACATCAAGTTCTCGCATAACCTCGAATCTTTTATATCGTTGAATTAATTGATTGGATTTTTTTGGTAAAACGTTTAAGAGGGACAGCTTCGAAATATGTTACGAAGATCACTCTTCTGAATGATCTCCATTTTAGACGTCGCTCGTTTCGTTATCAACGAATTATTAACAAAAGAAATTTACAAGATAGCAATTATTTTAAGTATCGAAAATTATTATTTAAAATTTCAACACATGGACACGTAAAATTATTCCATTCTCGATTTAATTAAAAAATGAATTAGACATTATGCTTTATGCGTAGAGTTTTAAACAAACTAATAAAATTTCTTAAGGAATAACGATGTCTTAGAAATCATCAAAAAGAGTGTCTTTGATACCATATATCA